CTGTTGGATTAGGCGTCTAAGCCCATAACTATAATTAGTATGTACTTGACCCGATAGTAGCATGGTCCTTTTGGGTTGCCTTCACCAAAGCAACTTGACTGGATGAATAATGGAGAAAAAGGTTAATTATGATTTATTAATATATTATAGGAATAATATATTAAAACAGAAATCATATTATTTAATTAATATTGGTCAAGAATTAATTTAGAATTAATTTTGTGGTCAAAAGAGATTAATTAAATTAAGGGGACTGGTGTTGTAATTATAAGATAGTTACAATTGAAAGGTAAGATTCTAACTATGTATTAGATATAAATTTCGATTTATGCATACTAGTTTAGGGTTATAGCTTTGGATGATTATTATTACATGTACAATTAGAGAAAACCTAGATCCAAAGCTTTAGGGTTGCATGTGCACAATAGGATTGATGTAATGCTTAAAACCCATCAAAACTCACTAAGCTTTGTGCTTACCCGGTTGTTTATTGTTTCAGGTAACGTCGGTCATCATGGTAAGGCAAAGGCGTAACTGTACACATTCATCAACAACAATGAAGATTCCACGCTTTAATATTACTCTGGTTTTTATAAATGTATTTAGAATAAACGGTTTTCTCCATAACAGATTTATAACTGGGAAGATTTACTTAAATAAAATGAAAATTTTTTGTTGTGAAATTGGGGCGTTACATTTTGGTGACCTTGAAGGAGAAGGAAGGAAGTAGAATCACCTTGGAAGCTTGAAGAAGCTTTGGATGTGGAATCCTCATCTATCTACCAACCTTCAGGAGGTATAAAGTTCTAAACTTGGCTTGCATTTCTTTAGATCTTGTTAGCTCTTGATCCTTGAAGCATTTTGGTCCCAAATCTTGACATTTATGAGTATGGCATACTCCAGCCCGTATAAGCTGTCCTTTCAGACGTTTTGAGATGTCTAGAAGCATAAAAATATGATCTTGGTTCTTAGTTCTTCCACATGCATGTGCTAGAATGTACTAATGGATTAAGAAGATAGGGTTTGCTGGTATTAAGCACTTCTAGCCATGCAAAGTCATAAAGTCGGAAACTTTATCACTTATAACGATATTTTGGGCTTAGATCTGGATTTTGACGTAAGGACTTGATGGATTAAGCTCTTAATAAGAAGTTGAGGTAACCAGGTGCGTATGCTAGGCGTACCAAATGGCACGTTGTGCGTACGAGGTCAAAACCTCGATTTCTTGATCAAGAGGAGTACGCCCAACGTACTCGGCTGGGTTGACTCGACTGGTTATTGGCCTTGACTTTTTGACCAAGGTTGACGTAAGGGTAGTTTGGGTATTTTAGGTCTTTTGGGACTATTAACTAAGCTTAGGTTACCGGTTTCGTTTAGGTGATCGGTAGAGTCGGTGTTGGAGTTGTACTCAGTGTTGTGTACTTTTTTGCTACTCGTCAGACTAAGAGGTGAGTTTTCCTCACTGTACTCGTGGGTCGACGGCACCATGCTGACCCACTATATTATGTATCCTGGTTTATAGGATAGTATATGCTAGTACATGATTGATTATTAGATCTATATGATTTATTGTATTTGCTGAATATGTGTTTATGTTTATCTGTTACATATGTCGACATATTGTGGTGAAGTTGAGGCGGTCCTGCTTTGTGTTGTAGGACAAGATACCCGAGTGGTCCGGATAGACTGTAGGCCCTGCAAGGCGGTCTAGTCAGATCGAAGGCCTGTAGAGCGGTCCATATTGGCTGTAGGCCCTACGAGGCGGTCCAGTCAGGCTGAAGGCTCATATTTTATTAAAAAAATATTATGAATCAGCCTAACCTTTTACTATAATTTGCTTCGTATATTTTGGTTCCCCACTTTATGAATATTTGGTTCCAACAGAAGATTAAAAATGAGGAGAATGTTTTTTTGGGTGGTTAAGTAGTTCGTCTCATTCGGCCCATTTCACAGCCAGTTGTACCGTTTGGCAGGGCAAAGAAGGACTATAAAAATCATGGTTATTTTGGGTCAAATATTTTTCATTTTTTTTTTTTTTTTTTTTTGCATAGGAGGATAATATTTGAATTTTATAATTTGTACCTTCTAGTTATTAAACTTTTTAATTTAAAGACTAAATGATCTATCATATAAGCACAAACTGTATGTCTTATACAAATAAAAATAATAAAAATAAGTTCTATCAAATTATCCTTTATTTTTTATATCAAATCCACTATGATGGAAAATAAAATATTATTAGTACAATGAAAATATAATTATATATAAGGCTGGTGGGAGTGGTGTCACACTTGTTACAATCCGCGTAGGTGACACGTCAGCTTTGTCACACTTTAGCAAAAAATTGTCATTTACAGGGCGTAGGTTGCCACATTTACCATGATAATTTTTTTTAAAATAATTAATATAAAAAATAATCAAAGACCAAGTTTTTTAGGTTTTATAATATAAATAAAAATAAAAATAATTAAAAATAAATCGATTTATTGAATATAAATAAGTTTTATAAGTTCATGGGGTATTGTATCATTTCATGAAGTCAATTTTGAAAAGATATTCCAACTTTGGGATAGGATATGTTATTAGACCAAACTACAGGGACTAGATCTGCCAAATTTGAAAATCTAGTTATCTTCTTCCTTAAGAAGCGTATACACCAACCATCATTTTCACCATTCACAAATATTCAAACACAATATCCTTTCTCTCTCATCGGCGAGTTTCCACCGAGTTGCTCGGCCCGATGTTCGCCGAGCTAACCGAGGTCATTGTCGAAACCACACCGAGCAACCTAATACATAACTAGCTTTGTTAGAAAAGGAAAATAAAAATACCAATATATAATTACCTTTATTAAAATATCATGCATTTTATTTACATATTAAAAGAAGAAAATTTTATGTGAGAAAAGAAGCAATTAAGTGGCCAAGAATTGACAATGGGGTTGACTTCTTTAATCTGAAACCCACTTTTGGTTACTTTTGTCACGCGGTTCAAAACAATTTCTAGTCACTTTCCTGAATGTTGCATGATTGTTTCGAAACTTTATTTACTTTTATTAAAAAAACATTATAAAATTGAGATGGATTTTCAAGATTTTTTTTCATTTAACTTTTATTGCTCAAATTATTGTTGAATTAAAAAAGATGCTACGTGTAAGTACAAAATTTAAAAAAAAAATAAAAAATAATACATTTTTGTGATCTGGACACGTGTAAGCGACACATGTATTTTAAAAGATTCACAAATCGGAGTTGAGTTAAGAGTATATCTGACAATGAGGCAGGTTTGGAGCGAATCGACCTTGATCCAAACCCGTTTAACACATTTCAAATTCCGATCCAAACCCGCTCCGTAACCTGCAGGGTTTTGAATTATCAAACCCATACCCTTATCCGCCGAATCAATAGATATCCAAACCCGCCCTGTAACCCATAAGTTTTTTGAATAATCAAATACATTTTACTTAAACCTCAAAATAACATTTATTAAATAAAACAAATGTTGATTTAAATAACACATTATGTACTTAAGAACTTTCGATTGGAATTAAAATCATTTCTGTAGTAACTTCTTATTGGTTTTTGACCGTGGATTGCATCATAGGGAATAACAATTTCAAACTTTCTTCTGATTGATAAATGACTGTTTGGTTGATGAAATATAAATGAAATGACATCATGCTTCTTGCTAGAATACTGAAAGTCTAGAAGTCGTCGAGTCATTGATTCCTACATAAAAAACAGTTTAGTCTTTGGACTTTCGATTAGAACTAAAAGTAAACTTTAGGTTGAATAAAATATAAATTGATAATTCTAAAATTTATACGGGGCGGGTTATAGACGGAGCGGATCGGTGATGATCCACACGCGACCCTTTTAATAAAAGGGTTAGCGGGTACGGGTCGTTAACGGGTAAACGGATCAAAAACTATGCTCCAAACCCATATAATTATTAAGGGTTTGGATCGGATCAGGGTCAAAACCCGCTCCATTGACAAACCTAGTTAAGAGGCATTTAGATATTCTGTAAAGTTGTTTATTACGACATAGTGTGGTTAAACTGAATCAGATATTCGGAATTCTAGAGCTGAAATAATTAGATTTGGATTAACGTTTTAATATATGATTGCAATCTGTAGTTTTTATTTTTTTTTGTAATGTGTTCCTGTTCATTAAAAAAATATAATAACTTATAATCATTTTAGTTAATATCCTTATTTTATATTGCCTAAAGGGGTCACGGTGGCATGTAGCTGAAAGTTATAGTTTTTTATAGTTTTTTTTTTTTTTTGTTATATGAGAAGGACAAAATGTTTAAAAGATAAATATATAAATATATATTTAAGGACAATTATTAAAATTGATTTAAAAAACTCAAGAGTGTTTTCTTAAACTTTTTTAGATTTGGAACAATTTGTTTAAACTAAAAACTAAATGTTAAACAAAATTTTTTGTTTAAATTGAATATTACCTCAAAACTAAAAACTTAAAACTTAAAACTTCCAGACACGTCATAATACTAACTTTTGTTAAATGTATTACCGGAAAGGAAAGAATAAGTTTCTTCAACAATATTATACTACTTTTATATGCTTTTGAGAAAGTAATTTAATGGGAAACAAAGATGTCAATTCATTGACTTAAGGTGATGTGAATGCTACACCCAACATCACCGAAAACAGTGTTGGTGCGTGCTACCACTTATGTAAACGAAGGAAAAAAAATCTATTTATTAGTAATAAACGTTTAATATGGTTTTAAGAAGATAAATTACTAAAAAATTAAATAAATAAATTTACGATAATTTTTCTTAAAAGATATCTCGTTAAAAAATTTATAATTCGATTCCGCTTTTATGTTTTCCAAGACAACTTAAAATAATTTTCTTTTATTTATTTATTTATTTATTTTTTCATTTTTGCTGTCATCAAATGAGCATGGACTAGAGTAAGTAGAGTAGTATATAAAGGAAATGGGAGATGCACTTATCTCCAACACAATTGATTTACACTTTACACCTACAAAAGTGTGTCACTGTGTGTATTTTATGCGCACCCATGGCAGCAGTCACCAGTTGTCTTCCTGTTTCAGCAACTATTCTTCTTCTTCTTCTTCTTTTCCTTTCCCCTAACTCCATTGCTGTCCCGATCTCAAGTAAGTAATCATCCTTTCTGCCCTCTATTGGTTCCCTTAATCTGTTGCGAAATTGCATGCAGTTTTTTTTTTGGTTAAAACATTCAGTCACACAAAACATGCAACCTCAAGTTTATGATAATCTGATACAATAAACGTGTACATGGTGTCATGGTTTATTTACTAATTGAAATTTGTTTCAGAGTTTAAACCCTGCTGGAGGTTAGATATATTATATGTTAATTATCGTGTTGAACTTCTTAGGTTTGGTGTGTGTCTGAGAAATAATCTGATATGAAAAACACACGGTTTATTTAATTGTTGGAAATCTGTTGAGTCGAAAGTTGAAACCCTAAAAGCTCACTATATTGCAGTGTACGAATTATTTCTAATTAAGTTTTGTGTATGTTCTTGATGATTGAGATCTTTAAAAGTTCGTTTTATAATGCATTTGTTATCGCTTATCACAGGAACAAGAAACCTCATGGATGAACGATCACTTGGACATCACAAAGTTTCAGGCTATATCCCATTGGTAAACATCCTTGTCCTTTTTTAGTATACAGATATGGCAACTAAAGTTGGGAGAGGTGACACTTCGGGATTAAACCCTAATAAATTTTTGTACCTGTTCAGGAGAAGGTAAAGGAAAGTTTGGAGATCAGTGAGAGCAATGATATAAGCGAAAGAATGAATCTTGAAGTGAACGATTATCCAGGATCTGGTGCAAACAACCGCCACACGCCAAGGCCATAGCAAGGGACAAGATCATATTTCAAACGACATATGAAACTAGAAGCAACATAAATAGAGTACTAGCTACTAGAGTGTTATTTAGTTAATGATACGTACGACAAAATCAGGCTAAGTAAATTACTACCTAACTACCTACAATCATACAATTCATGCTACGAATATATTTATATACGTTAAATATGTATCTAGCTAGCTAGTACAATGATTCAAAATATAAGAATCTACCAATATATGTCACCAAGTTGTTGAGTGGTTGGAGTCTGAACATTGGTAGCAATATTGGATAATGATGACGGTTTTGTTTTAATCTTCGTTTTTGTATAAGAAGTGAGTCATGTCTTCAAGGACGGATGCAAAATTTCATATTAGGTGACATAGAAAAAAAAAATCGAAAAGTGACACATTTTCTATTACTTAGTTGCACATTTTGTTTAATTTATAAGTAGTAGTACCTATAATAGTATAAAAAAATTCAAAATTTTTTGCACTGCATATACAGAAGTTGCCGGTGTCACTATGGGACACCAATAAGAACCGCCCCTTCATGTCATGATATATAAAGTAACGTAAAATGAAACATTTCATATTGTGAGTTACGTTATTAAGATAAATTAACGTAAAATGAAACAGGCTAAAGAGTACGTATACTAGACAAGTGTGTTTTTATAACAAATTAAATATTTGATTATAGCTTTTCATACTATACGCCTGTTAGGTAGAAAGCACTCTGGATCTTGGAGCAAATATGGAAATTTAGTGGAGAAAGTGGAATATTGAGGTGGTAGGCAATCATGAAAGTTGTGTATGGTTGAGTCTAGACCGAACAAAATTATTAAATTGAAATAATTTGGTTGAAAGTTGTGTATGGTTGAGTCTAGACCGAACAAAATTATTAATTTGAAATAATTTGGTTGGTTTAATTAGTTTTGTATAGTAAGGTCTTTATTTGCTTGATCAGTTAAAACTTAACAGTGTTGAAAAGTTATAAGTGTTCAAATGAGTAACTTTATTATGTTAGATTTTCTAGTTATCAAACTAATCAAAATAAAAAAGTTAAGAAAATGACACAAATGCCCTAAAAAGTTTCTAGGGTTGGTCGATTCAGTCCATAAAGTTTTTGTCAGACTTTATATAGGGGTATAAACTATGATACGACCTACTCTTTTTTTCCATTTCAACCTGTAATAGTCGGTTCACCATGCGACATTGACCATTTTGACCAAAAAACTCACATTGTGCCTCTATAAAGCCAAAAAATAATTTCAGGGATCAAATGCTTACGCCACAAGATCGAAGTGATTTGGGAGAAGAAGAAACCTGATAATGGCATTTGAGGGCTTATGTAAAATATGAGACTGTCACTTACATATATTATGCATAACATTATAACGATCAAGCCTACAAACTGAAATCACTAATCAAGTCTATCCACCACAACTAGAAGGCCTTCACTTCCTCCTCCGGTGCTGAGCACTCCGATCTCTGCCCATTTTCTAGCTTTCTTGGAGCCAAAGTCGACGCCGGCAACAAGAAGACAAACTCTAATGATTCCCTCTTGCAAGTCATGTACTTGAGTTGCTGGGGACCTAGCTAAGATTACATATTTCTGTTTGTAAACTGAGTTTTCTCGATGATAATGATAGTGAGTTTACTCGTGTTCTTTAGGCAGGAAGGGATTCGTAAGTGTAAAGATTCAGAACCACATTTTATAAGTTGTGGATTTTCTTGGTTCTTGATTGTGACCAACTAAGTAATTATCAGTTAAAATTTATATTAGCTTCGGATCATCATCGTTTCAATTATCAGGTTTCTTTTTCTCCCAAATCACTTCGATCCTGTGGCATAAGCATTTGATCCCCGAACTTATTTTTTTGGCTTTATAGGGGCATAATGTGAGTTTTTTTGGTCTAATTGGTCACTGCCGTATGGTACCGACTATTACAGGTTGAAAGAGACTAAAAGAGCAGATCGTATCATAGTTTATACCCGCATAAAGTCCGACAAAAACTTTAGGGATTGGATCGACTAACCCTACTTTGTAGGACATTTGTGTCATTTCTCCTAAAAAAGTTTAAAGTAAAGAAGTATAGGATTCAAACCATTTAATTAATTCAAATCAATAATAAAATTAGAGAATTATATATGTTTAATTCCCTAGCCACAAAAAAAAAAGTATTCCGTATTTGAACACCAATAGTCAAATTTTGGATTTTAGTTGTTTGTCTCTAATCATTGTTTGTTTTTTTAAGAAAACTACTTCTGATATTTTTTGCTGCGTCGCGCAGCACATGCGTAACACTTGGTCTTTTACAGATGTTTGTTTTTTGGAAGACTTTTGACTTAAAAATTGTTGTGCGTGTGCTGTTTGGCGCAACAATGGACCCTCCTCTTCAAATATTTTCTCACCTTACTTTAAGTTATATTATTCAACATATATTTGTTTGAGTTTTTTTCAAAAACATGTTTTTTTATTTTAATAATATTATGAAGGATATTATAAACAATTCGAGTATATTTTTCATAATTTCAAAACCATTTGGTAAATTTCATATAAATATTTTTTTGTATTACATTGTCTATAAACAAATATTAATAAATTATAAAGTTAATCACTAAAATTACCAAATTTATTGAAGCTAACCGGAAAAATAATCATCGTCTTTGAAAATTTAACAAAATGAACATGTTGTTTTGCTAAATTAACAATTTTATTTATTGTTATTTAGCAAATATTATATTTAATTATTTTATATAAACGTCTTTAAAAATCATATCATCACAATGATCTTTATATTTGATTTGCATATGATTAAACTAAATTAATTTTTTATTTAGAGTTATTTTAAGTGTTGTATGGTTAATTTCAGTTTATTGCAACAACCTGTCGATGTTAAAAAACGAACATACTTCTTATTGTAGGTTGCATTCATTTGGTTCACCTCTTTTGCCGTAGAGGGTTGCATATGTGGTCCGCAGACTTCATATTTCTTATTGCAGTCTGCAACCGTTTGGTCCATCTCTTCTGCTGCAGATGGTTGCAGATGTAGTCTTCAATTTCTTTTGGGTGCTACTACACGTACCCCCTCACTCACATAAATTGTCAGATCATGGAGGGTACACACATACTATTCCACTCACAGGAGGGTACGTATAGAAATTTCCTTTCTTTTATATGTCATTGAAAACTTTGGTATATTTTGTTAGATGATTTGAGAGAAATGATATAAAAGAGAAACCTTCATTAATTTATTAGCCTGAATCCATAACTACATATATACATGAAGAAAGGAAATAACAACCAACTAACAGACAAAATATGAAAAGACCAAAATACCCTTTAATTAATTCTAATTATATTAACAGAATTGTAACTATTCTAAAACCCCCACTCAAGCTGGAGAGTAAGACATGGATCACAGCTTGGAAACAACTTGGGAATGCAAAGTTGGTTGTAATAGCTTGGTAAAAATGTCAGCTTGTTGAAGAGAAGTAGGAACATGATAGAATGGAATCAACTCTTCGTTTAACTTTTCTCAAACAAAGTGGCAATCCAATTTTCTATGTTTCGTGCGCTCATGGAAAACTGGATTAGTTGTAATGTATATTGCAACCATGTTGTCATATTTCAGAGGAATCAGAGTTATATTTGTGACACCAAACTCGTGTAAAAGCCTAGATATACAAGCCAATTCTGCACAAACATGTCGCATGGAGAGATATTCTACTTCTACTGAATTTAATGAAATGGTCACTTGTTTCTTTGACTTCCAAGAAATAGGGATTTCTCCAAGTAAGATGAAGAAACCACTTACCGATCTTCGTGTAATGGGGCACGCTGTCCAGTTGGAATCACAAAATGCTTCAATATTATAACTGGAACTTTTGTTGAATAACAAACTTTGAGTGATTGTCCCCTTTAAGTAACACAAAACATGGAAGACTAAATTGTAGTGTTCCATTGTAGGAGACTGATTACGTTAACTCAATAATTGAATAGAGAAAGAGAAATATGGTCTTGTATACAAGATGAAATTCAACTTTCTAATAAGTTGTCGATAAGTTGTGGGATCCGAAAGTTTTTCTGAAGAAGTAAATTTGATATTATAAGTTAATCGTGTGGAAACTAGAATAACATCAACCGTTAAATACATTTCTAATAGCTCATGTATGTGTTTTTATTGATGTATGACTAATATTTTATCAACTTGATCAAATTCTAACCCCAGTAAATAATAAATGATGCCCAAGTATTTAATTTAGAACTGATCATTTAGAAAATTATTGAGAGTAGATGTAGCGCTTGGTTTAGGTATTGGTCAGTTTTCAACATTTTTAGACTTTTAGACTGGAACTCGACGAGTTGGGGAGCTCCAACTCGTCGATTAGAGATCATATTGGACGCGGGATGAAGGACCTACTCGACGAGTTGGAAGGCACCAACTCGACGAGTAGGAGTTGGAAAGGGAAACCCTAATTTTCAGGGTTTGCACCCTATTTAAAGGCCTTAAGCCTCACTTGTAGCCTCCCTTATCACCTCCTTTGTCCAGAGAAACCCGAAATCGTGTCTCATCTCCCATTTTGTATGTATGTGAGCTTGGAAAGTGATTCTTGGTGCTCTTTTAGAAGGAACTTGAAGCTTGAAGAGGTTGGATTGACTGGAGGGCAGTAGATCCGGGATTTCCTCCAGTGTGGCAACCATTTTAAGGTATAAAGTCAAAACCTTGACCTTCCATTACTTAGATCTCCTTCTATGAAAGTTTATGGCCATTATTAGCCTAGTTTGGTACCATTCTTGGTTTTGAGCATGATATGAAGATATGGCTTTAGATCTGGACATCTCAGGGCCTTTGGGGACTTAAAGTTGCCAACTTTATCAAGTCTTGGCCCTCCATCATGCTATAAGTCCATTGACAAGCTTGGATTAAGTGTTTTTTAGCCTTTAATGCCTTGCATGGATGTAAAGTTAGCAACTTTACATGGTATCTCGACCCTAGGGGGTTGGATCTGAAGTTTGGGACCGTGTGTAACACCCAAAAATTCCAACCATATTAAAACATTTTATTTCATTCAAAAACCATTAAGTTCATACATCTTGTTTTCAAAATAGTTTAGACATCAGAGTATCCCCCAGAACCATATCACATAAATCATAAA